AGTGATCAGCCGCGGGAAGACCACGGGTGCCCCACCAGACCCAGGAGGCACTAGTTGCCAAGCCAGGGGGTGCAGGGGGAGGGTGGGGGAGGCATCCCCTTGCATGCTTCCCGGCAGACCTGGAAGTGGACTGGAAGTGCTTCTGGTCCACTTCTGGGTCTGCTGCCAAGCGCGCTGGGGAGTCCTCCGTGCTCCTGTGGGACGCTCCATCTGTCCCACCATCTCAGCATTCACAAGCTACCTGGTACCTTGAAGTGTGTAGAAAAAACATTTAAAGCTGTATCTATATCTGAATCCTCAACTCTCTCCGAATCAATTTGGAGGGTTCCAATTCGATTTGGAGAGATTAAAGGGTCTCCTGATTTGATTCGGATTCAGAGATCTGGCCACTGAATTAGGTGGAAGCTCCGCTGAATCGAACCCGGGACCGAAGCTCCGCACAGCCCTCTTGCTTAGCTCGTTGTCTTGGAGTGACAGCAGAGAACTCCAAAGTAGTGCTTAAACACTAGCTTTGATGAACTTTGTATTTTACTAATTTCCAGAATGCTTGAATCGGGAACTTGAATACTGGAAAAAAAATCATAACTGCATATTGGTGTGTTTACTTCTTGCAAGCCTCAGGATCTCTAACACTTATTAGATTGCTAAAATGTATTAGTAAAAATTGAGTTATTTCAAGTTGCATTTGTTCCATCGGTCAAAGAATCCCATTACTGAATCACAGTAATTCATTTAAATAAGTGTATATTTTAATGGCTTTAGGTCAGCAGTAGACTGAAGTAATATATTCCATATAGAATGCAATAGAAAGGTTTGTTTTATGCTAGGCATATTCTCTACACCACTGCTTTTTTGTTAGTATTGTTGTCTACTCTTTTAAACATGCTTTTATGAATAACAGAATCAGGATTGTTTACCTTATCTTGTGTTTCATATACTAGCGGTTGGTTAAGGAAGCGTGTTGGGATGTTTCCTCTTTTGTTAATGGAAGATGGCTGGTATTTCTGAGGGCAGTGAATAATGTCTTAATACTATTGCTTTATCATTAGCAAAATTGCTTGCACTGGCAGTGAAACTGCCTCAAGCTAGTTTGCAAGAATAGATGTTTTATAGCAGTTTAATTCTGTTTGATTTGCTATGCTTCATGTTGATAAGAAGTACAGTAAGATGCTATAGGTAAATAATAATGATAAAGTCCCCCTCTCCTTTTTACAGTGTTGCTTATTGCAGTATGTATATAATGTAGCAGTACTGTATCTTGTGGCTGCCATGAAAAAGTCACCTTTCACTACAAGTTACTACTTTTTTTTTTCCCCCAACGCACTGCATTGCTTTCCAATGTAGGAAACTAACTGTAGTGGCTTTTTCTTTTGGTGGTAAATGCATTTTCATGTTTATGTATAATAGAAAATAAATTTTCAGTAGTTACTTTCATTTGAATTCAGTGTTTGAGGTACGTAAGTAGCCCTATTGTCATAGTACCCAAATGTCTCACAGTCTTTAATATGTTCATCCTCATAGAACCCCTGTTTTATAGAACTGCATTACTCCATTTTTTAAATGGAGACCAGAGGTGGATGCAGAAAAGAATGTGTGTCCATATTCCACCTAACTGCCACTATAAGCTCCCAAAATAATTCCTCAGAACTTCTCTACACAACTATTCTGCACACAGAAAGTTTGTCCTGTCAGAAAAGTCATAGAGCAGTTGAGAAAATAATGTCCCTGCATGAATTTCTGACACTATTCAAGCCATCTGCAATGTTGCCGTTGACTTCAGTGGGGCTAAAGTTTCACCCCATGTTTATGAAAATCCATGATGAACATATCCAAAAAATACTGCAAAAGACAGAAAAGGGCTATTATTAAGGCCAGAAACAATCTTTTAGAAATGAATACCTGTAGAGAGGCAAATGAGAGCAAGAGGCAGATATACAAGATCTACCAGTGCATGGTACATCAGGTTTATAGGCAACACGAGTTTCCTAGAGCTGACAGAGAAGCAGAGATTCTCCAAAGATGTTTGACAACAAAAATCCATCACTTCAGAGAGGCACTGAAATGGGACTTGCAGAGCCATTGGCAGTGATATCACTCATGCCTTAGTATTTTGTCCAGAGAGTAGTTGAGGAAACACTGATAACTGAGAGTCAACTTCCTCCCAAGACATACACCTAGCTTTGTATAGCAATAAAGCATATGCAAGTGTTCTTGTTCTAATTTCCACAAACATGTGCAGAGCATTACTCTTTGGCATGTCTATAATCGGACAAGTACCTAACTTCCATACATACCACTAGCATTCAAAAGTACATTCTGGCATTCACCTTAAAGTTGTACATCTGGAGTTTAAATTGATAAGCACGTGGCAATTTTGAAATTTGTTCTGTTTTTTCTTTTTGTTTGCTTGCTTGCATTTGTGCTCATTATTCATTTCTTCACCTTTTTTTTGTAACACTTTGGCTGGGTCCGAATGAGTGTACATTTGGTTCCCTGTGTGTACATCTTGTCTCCGGGGAACGCCCATGCCATGCACCCTCTGGTGCACGGCAGGTTAACCCAGGTGGGATAGGGGAAGCTAGGGCCAGCAACTCTGCTGGCCCCAGTAGCCTGTCCTGGGGTCCCGGGATGCTTCAGCTGTGGCATTCCTGCAGCTTGGAGCCTGGCCAGCAGGTGGAGCGTGACTTCAGTGGGCCAGGCTCTGGTTTTGGGCAGCATGCGTTGCAGCCATGTGCACTGCCCTGCTTTTTTTCTGTGCAGCTGTTTTGACCCCAGGATCTCCTGAGGTCAACCCCCCCTGTGCCCCAGCTGCAAGATAGTAGCATGAGAAGCACCTGAATGTGTGGTGTGTGACCCTTCTGCCACCTACATACTGCATGGCTGCAGTCATTTAAATGTGGCTGTTGTGTGACGTAATAAGCCCTCTGCCCATTGGGACAGCCCCAGCTCCCGCAGGTGCCTTTGTGCTTCCCCAATTTGAAACGGTCAGGATGGGAATACAGACCGACTGTCCCTCAGCTGCAGCCTGTGTTCAGAGATGGAACGGACTGTACAGTTCTTTTTCTTGAACTGTTTCCTTTCTTTGTGGTAAACAGTTGGTAGATCAGATAGTTATTGGAAGCCTGGAAGAACATCCCCTACAGTCCAGTTACAGCTGGACTTTTTCCATTTTCTGTATGCTTTCCCTGCACCCCAGGCTTCCTCCCCTCCCTGTTCAAGGATCCCAGCTCCTTCCAGCTGCTCAGAGCAGGTTTCTGCAGGAGGGGATTTAAATATTAACCTTTGGAGCCAAAACAGAGGTCCTTGCTTTTCTTCAGGAAAATTTCATCCTTCCTTTTTTATTAGTCCAAAAGAAGAGGAGTCGGAGAGGAATCTTTAAGTCGACACCTTCCTTCAGAAACAAAAATTCAGAATGATAATGTCACAAATAATAACTTTCTGTTGCATATCCTACAGTGGTTTTGAGCTCACCACGTTCAGGAGACCTATTCATTGATAATACCTCCAATTTACCATAGTCTCACAACTTTCTTGATATAAAGCCCTGCCCTATTCTTTACAGTTGCATTAGCCCTAAAGTATGAACAAACCACATACCTGGGGTTTGTGTTTCCTCCAGAAGGAAACCCATTTTTACGTTAATTAGTTGATGTCAGGCTCTTCTCTGCATTAAATGAGGGAGAACATACAGCGTGTCCTCCAACTGAAATTAAATCCCAGTTTAAGAATAAGCAAGATTAGGCTCAGGGCATTGTGACATGGAATTCACAGACGCATGAATGGGCTGTGTCAGTGAAGTGGCTTGCCTTTGACAATGCCCGTTTGAAATAATGAAGCAACTCATTGGTTTAACACCACAGTTCTCCTGCCCTGGTGCAGCCTTGTCAAACTTCTGGATTGGTGGTGTCCAACCTTCTGACTGTGGGCCAAATGATCGGTGTGGCTTTGGTCCACAGGCTGGATCCCACTCAGGGTTAGCATGTGGGATTAGTTCACAGGTTTGAGCCTATGTCCTGGATCCAGCCACATGCTGGCTTACCCCTAGGCAACCAGATGGAGTGACGCTGCACGCAGTGGCAGTGCCGCATTATCCAGTCTGCAGGGCACCCCATGGGTCCAGAAATTTGGCAGCAGGGAGGCAGCAATTAACACTGCTCCCCCACCACCAGACTTTGGATCCAGGGTGCCCCCAAGTCAGATGACGTAACTTCATAGGTTGGATCTGGCCTGCAGACTAGGATCTAGCACTGCTATTCTATATCAAATAACATCCTATGCATTCAAACTTTGGGACAAAGCATCCACGCCAGAAGACAGGCGGGTGATCCAGGCTGACATGGACAG